GTATAGACCTCTTTGTAGATCTCTGTAGAAATTTCTATAAACATAATTTTCATAAAAATGTTGTTAAAATGACAACACTTATTAATATCTGGAGTAGACAAAACTTGACGTCAATTGATAGGATGTTATTAAATCCTTTCAAAACTTCACAAAAAAATAATTTGTTTATTACTTAACCAATCCCACCAGAAACATATTACACTATTTTACTCTCTAATATTTGAAGTTCTCTTGAATGGCAAGTGTCATGAGATCAAGAAAGATGTGACTATTCAAATTATGTAGAAGGAGGGTTAAAGATGGCTGATTTCTACCCCTTTGTAGATTCTCTAAAGCTAGGTTGGGTAAGGAGAATAATTCATTCCAGTGACAAATGGATCCCAATTTTAAAATCATTTGTTGATCTAAACAAATTGAATGAGTTTGGTAATGAATATATCAAATTTTTCTATTCGTCAAATTTATTCTGGAAAAATGTTTTTAAAGCGTGGAATAATCTTAATAGCACAAACCATAAGAGAGAAATGATAAATGAAAAAATTAAAAAACCTTCTTTGGTTAAACAAAGATTTTAAGATAGATTATAAGTCGATATTTTACTCAAACTGGTTTGAGGCTAACATATGCACAGTGAATGACTTAATTAAACAAGTAGACAATTTAACTTTTTATTCATTTTAGAAATATATACACATATTCAATCTTAACTTCAGTTTCCTCCAGTACCATGTACTACTTGTCTACACTGTAAAAGGATTTTCGGGAAATCTTAATGTCGATTTTGAAAGACCATCTCTATTCTAATCCTTATAGAAATATTTTTAAGAGTAAAAACTCATCCAAAGACTTCACTCATTGTATAATTGTTGCAAGGTCATGTCCAGCTGGAGTCAGAAAATGGAACCAATAGTTTGAGTTTAATGATGAAAATTGGAAATATTTTTTAGAATCTCATTTTCAGTTCAAAGTTGCAATGGTTTCGTATTAGAATTGTACACCACATCTTAGTAAATCATATTTTCATCTATGAAATAAAGCTATATACAAACTGTTTATGTACTTGTGTGATTTGAAACGAAAGACGATAAACAAGATATCAGTGGGGTTTTTTTTTTTTTTTTTTTAATTTTGTTGTTCTATAAAATTCAAAGTGGTTTCGTTGTGTGGGTTATTTGATGTCATATAGAATTCCTAGTAATTCAGTTGTGATGTGTTTTTGTCGATGATGAAGGTGCCCACCTGCCTATGTCACCAGATATTCGTGTTGTTATTTTGCCTTCTTATTGGTAAGCTAAAATTAATATATGATACATGATCAGTAAGGACATAGATTAATGTCATAGATCAGAGGTCAACAGCCAATATAGAGACCTCGACCTTGATTTACTCTGTCTTTAATTACCCAGAAATGTGTACAAGACTGCTTCTGTTCATGGTGTCCGCTATCAGATTCGGGAACGTACAATTTTGAAATATCAAAGGAAAAGAAAAAAAACTATATTTAACAAATGAAGAGCTGGTCGGAACAGAACACGTTTGTTCATTTGGAAATTCACCTACGTTGAGACCAGTCTCGCATCATATATACAGACATCTAAAATCTCTTCTATTGAAACTCCTACAAATGTTCAGTGGCGTCCCTTTTTCTCTACAGTAATAAATAGAGCGGACATGTTTCTGTGATAATTTAAATTTAAATGTAAATAGTTGTACATGACAGATTGGGTGTATACGAGTTAAATGCCCACTGTTGATTTCTGTTTTTTTTTTATATATATAATTTACACAAGTAAACGTCAATTAGCGCTTCAGGGCTTTCAAATTATTCAAGTTTTATGTAGACGACATAAAAAAACACATGTACTAACTTGTATACGTGTCAAACTAGGAACGTGTATAAAACTTATCATTTTTTAACATGACAAGTCAAAGCGAAGAATGAAGAATTAGACAAGAAATGTAGATGGTTATGATAAAAACAAACTCAGGTAGTGTAATAAGGTGTCTTGGTCGGCTGCATTCAATAACGAGTTTATGAATTCATGATCCATCGACTTGCGCCGGCTTTTCCCAACATATCAATTCATATTCAAATACTTTTTCATATTTTTAACCGATGATAAAATTTTCTGGTATTTGATGTCTTCATTAACAATCAAAATTTAAATAAGACCTATCTCGACACGGGTGTTTCTTTTACATTGGTCATTCTCCGATGCGACAATTTGAAGTAGAGTTCCTTGGGATTCATATGCTTATCCTTCAATGTTTGAGCTCCGCTGAACTTGATATAGAGTCATGGTTGTCCTCAGTGAAATCTAGTGCACTCGTTCTTAATTGTGAATTGTTTATATGTTAGGTAGATGAAATCTGTGAAGGTAGTGTACTGCCTGGTCCGTGGATATTTGTGGGATTTTTAAGTGAGTATGTTATAGGATGTATCAAAACCAAAAAGTCTTTATCAATTTGTGGTAGCATTTCATTATAGCAAATATTTCATTATTGATCATGTATACACACACGCGTATCATAGCAACAAGGATACAGCATACTTGGACTATTTAGCCTTAATTATTAAAATTAGAACTCTGATTTATAGTTGATTATAGGAACATGGAGAGATCATTCATGCGAGTTACATGGATATACAGACATTGTACTTAGGTTTGAAGCGATAGTGTTTAACTCGTACATATATCTGATTATATTATGATCACTTGTATCCCATGGAGAGGTGCAACTGCACACCTAATGATTGCACACCTCACTCGTAGGATGTACAATTGCACACTTACCTCATGGTAATTTACATAAGAATACATATACATGTATACACGAACAAAAAGTTAGACTACATCGAGAGTGTTTATTGCAGGGACAGACAAGAAAATCTTCAAAGAAATTATTTCTGTCAATATAAACTTCACTACGCGATAAACACGTGTAATTACACTGGGCGAGAACTCTTACGTAGAAACATATTCTGCCATACCTCTTTAAACTCGATACAGGAAGACTCTCAGTTAGATGATATAGTTTGATAAGTGAATGTCTTCAGACTAACTTTGTTACTTGGAATATATAAAATGTTTGATGCTAAACTTTGAAAGGAAACCATTTCGGGTTTTGAATGCGGCTGTATAGAGTCTAGACGTCTGAGTGTGTAGCTGTTAATAACTTGGTGTGTGTGTAGTGCCAAACTACGTCGTTATTTCGCTATCAGATTTGATTTCTAGCCTCTCTCCATCAGGGTCAGTGTGGACATTCAGAGGTCAGCCTGAGCATAAATTGTGAGTTATTATATAATTTCATTTCTATAAACCTTTTTTTATATGGTAATAACAATCCCACACCCATTTTTATGGGTACTACTATCGCTGTCCGGGGTTCTCTTTGCTTCAATAACCATGATATTATTTCATTCCTACAAATGTATTGTTTACCAATACTGGCAGAAAATGATATATTTCATACATGTATGCCTGTTACACAACTATATTCCATAAACGGATGATCACAGTGTTTGATAGTTGTCAATACAGTCTTTTTTACGTTGATGTCAAACATTGACATCACTATGAATAGTTATCTAATTAATATTAATGTTCTTTACCGGTAGTAACTAACCGCTCGGTGTGTAATAGAATTTCAAAAGCCTTAAAATGTCAGAATGCCATGCCTGAATGGAGGGGAGAGAGGAAGAGATTTATCGAGATAACAGGACGGACTTCTATATTTTATCTGATGATCTGACTATTAAAACGAACAATTGTTGGAAGCAAGCCAGATATTATTTATGTATAATTCTATGTGAAGATTTCGGTGCGAGTGTTGGGTTGTTTTAGTATATCATTTTGTAATGAGGAGTGCAATAATTTGATAAATGACTTCTGTGTTGGTAATGTGAGTATTCCTTTATTGATGCCATGTTGTGTTTCCTTTTGATATAAGTAGGCACGGTACATCAGTCAGCTGTCTTGGTGATCTATTTACATATGATGTATCGTTTTTTTGTAATTTTTGTAGTCACCATCGTAATTTTTATATCATGTTATACGTTTGTTTTGTCATTCCCATACACTAGAAAGACCTGCAGTGTCCCCCTCCCCTTGGTCATTCCCATACACTAGAATGACCTGCAGTGTACCCCTCCCCTCGGTCATTCCCATACACCGGAATGACCTGCTGTGTTCAATCCTCCTCCCCTCTGGTAGTTACAGTCACCATATATCGTCTAATGGCGCTCTAACCTATGTACAGAGTTAAAAAAAATGGACGAAATAATTATATTTGTCAGATACATATATTCCTAAATAATTCATAACTCAAGATTTCACGGTTTTCTCGCTAAACCTTATAGTGAAGTTCACGTGTTCACAACCACCACAACCATCACCACCACCACAACCATCAACAAACCACCGCCATCACTAACACCACCAACACAACCATTACCAAACCACCTCAACCACCACAACCGTCAACAAACCACTTCTACCACCATCACCACACCACTACCACAATTACCACAACTACCACCGCCACCAATACTGCCACCAACCACCACAATAAGGTGTACACAACAATCGGTATCTTCATCTTTAATATTCATGTATCTACTCTGCATCAGCCAAACTTTTCTTATCCCCCACATCTTACACCGAGCCAGCTGCTGGTCAAACTATTTTAATCACTTCTTGCTAAAGGTTTTGACCTGAGGTCAAGACCATTCGACAACGTTCCCGACCTCCAACCCCCTCCCCCAAACTAGACCACAGAAGGTCATCCTAACTCCTAGCGTATCTGTAGATCTTATTGAGTACTCAAACGAAACTTCAACACTACCAACGAGACAGACTTTACAGAATACAAAACCATCCAGGTACATGATAAACAAATGCTCCGTCTTCTGTTGATGTAGAGTAGATCATACAGATTTTATCGTTTAGTATCTTCTGTTTCGTTGTAGGAGTGTGATTCCAGTATTGTGAGATTTCAGTATGGAGCACCACAACAAGCTGAACAACTGGCAGGATATTACCGTGTTGTTGGTGTACTTCGCCGCCGTGCTGGCTGTCGGATTATGGGTACAGTTGTATTAATTTACAACAACCTTACTTTATTAATTTTACATTTTATTCAGGGTCGGCATTTTCATTGTTCTTCTTTTGTCTGATATTAATTCATGGTATGCTGTGGCACTGCTGTGTGCGTCGTCCATCAATCAATCATTTTTTCTATGTAAGTCTTTAAACATCAGCAGTTTGACACTTATGAAAGGTTGACCTAAATCAGAGGACATGAAGACGTGATGCTTGAAATCTTCTTTGTTGTTGTTTACCTTGTTACCATTTCGGACGTCACTTGCTTGAATCGACCAATATTTACACGGCGGGTGTCGTTGATGAAGCAGAAGACGCTTACTCTTCCGCAACACCTGATCTTTTTTCTCTCTGTGTTTTTTCAGGAGACTCCGTTTAAATCTTTCCCTTGTTCATATTTGCCCTTGTTCATCGCATGTATGTTAAAATTGTGATTTCCTTAATATTTCTGTATTACGGCTGTAAAATCTAAAAAAAAAAACAAAACAAAAACAAAAACAAAAACAAAAAAACAAAAAACAGAGGAGCATTATACTGATATGGCAAGTATTCTTTTACAAAATTCAAATATGTATTGAACTATTCTAATTACATAAGTTAGTTTGACGACAATACCTATGTGAATATAGATAACTGTTGACTTACATGGTGTTATGTTGTGAAACTTGAGTGGCCAACAATGCTTATACTATTTCAGTCAATGCGAAGTTCCAAACGAGGAAATGTGAAGGGCTACTTCCTGGCTAGTGGCACCATGCCTTGGGTGGCGGTAGGTATCATAGAGTAACATCAGTGTACTCAAGATTATACACAATATTTATACACATCATCGTGCTTTTTAATTGTGCGATTCACCTGCTAACTTATTTATTCTGACAAATATGAGATGCTGTTTAAAATTAAGTAAATAATACTGCTTGTGGATATATCGTATACGTGTGTCCAAATCCAATGTCTATATTTATATGTGTGACTGGTTATGTTTATATATTTTTTCAAGTCAAATATCTTTTGTTTACATGTCAGTCCAGACCCGATGCCTTTATTTATACGCTTGTCGCTTGTCCAGCACCTATTTTTATACGTTTGTCTAGACCCAATATTTATATTCATACGTTTATCTGGATCTGATGACTATATTTATACGTTTTTTTCGGATCTTATGGCTTTGTTCATACGTTAGTCCAGACCCAATGTTTCTATTTAATAACGCTTGTCCAGGTCTAGTGCCTTTTTTTCATACGTTTTTCCTGATCCAATGTCAATATTGACATGTTTTCTTTTATCTTAATGTACAGGTTGGAGCGTCACTGTTCTCTAGCAATATTGGGAGTGAACACTTCATTGGTCTGGCTGGGGCTGGTGCTTCTACAGGAATAGCAATGATTATGTTTGAGTGGAGCGTAAGTATATATTATATACAACACTTAATATTACTGTATATTATAAGTATGTAAATATGGTCATAGATATGTTTAGAAACTTCATTTCAAATCCATACTCGATTGTAATACTGATCCATGTTTGAACCTTGATAAAAAGACAATCACAGAATCGTCATATTCAGTCATTCAAACACATTTTTTAAAATCATTTTTACAGCCAGTGTTTCTGATACTGCTGCTTGGCTGGTATTTTATTCCAGTCTACATTTCCGCGGGGGTAAGTATAAATATTTAGTTAATTTTACTAGTCACGACCGTTATCAATAAATTCCATTTCATCTTGTTCTGCAAGCTGTAATTTATTTGTTTATAAATCGGGAATCTCGGAATAACTGATTCGTCACTTTGCCATGTTTTGATTTTCTGACAGGTGTACACACTACCAGAATACTTGGAAAAACGTCTCGGAGGAAACAAAATCCGGATATATATTTCGGTTCTATTCCTTGTGCTTGCCGTCGTCACCAAACTAGCGGTAAGCTTATTTTATTTGCTGTACCATGTATCTCATAGTCACCATATTAGCGGTAATCTTTAACTAGGGCAAAATATGAACGAAAGAAAGATTTATGAAAAGCAGAAGGAGAATAAGACCAGATGTTACGATAGAGTAAGCGTCTTCTACCTCGTCGACGACAGTCGTAGTGTAAACCTTGGTCAATCCAATTAAGTAAAGTCACGTTCTCAAATGAGAACAAGATCAATAACAACGGAACTACCAGGTATACTAATGCTCATCAAATACGCCCACCTTCATATCGCACAAAGAATTACAATATTTCTCGATCATTATGACGACTATAAAACTTAACCATAATCTCCATCAACCTGCATCTGTTGAAACCCCGCGATGTGAGTTTGTTTGTCTGTTGCCAGCATCTTGCATGAAAATAGTGATACTAGGAACAAGCTCTAAAACATCGAACCAACTGCGACATGTATCACAATATTTGATTCTGTCTTACGTTGCACGAAAAGGATGACATCGGAAGAAATTACTAGCATATAATAAACAATTTTAAAAAGTCAAATTTTAACGGAAGTCGGGCATGATTTCATATAGAACGGAAATTAACGTAACATCGGAGACCTTCGTGTTTTTGTGCACTTATTATATTTGTACTTACAAGCTGAAATTAAGCGCTCGATCCGACGTTTTGTAAACGTTTTGCTTTTGGATGATATTTTGTGTTGACGTCATGATTCGAAATTAGCTCATATTTTCAACGTTTTGTTAAGGTTTATGTACTGTTCTAATACATTATAAATTTAATAACATTCAGCAGATGTGTGATTTGTTGTAGGTTTCTTAATGTTATGTTACATTAGCACCATTACTGTGTAACAGTTTGATTTCGACGAAGCAGTACACCTTATTCACCTAGTACTTATTGTGCTTCTCCATTTTTCATATATAGTTCATCGAATTTGAGTTATGATTAAGATGTTATTGAAGTGTCGATATCGTATTTTATTTTTCTCTTCACGAACAGGTAAACATGTTTGCTGGCGGACTCTTCATACAAATGGCCACCGGCTGGAACATGTACATGTCTGTCATCATACTCTTAGCTATTACAGGTTTCTACACCATACTGGGTAAGGTTATTGATGATGATTATGTAGTCATGTTTGCGTTTTTTCACACACACACACACACACACACACCTCCCCTTTTTTTATTAAAAAAAATCATAATCGAGCAATATTTTCTTTTCAAATTCTGCATGCAATACAAAATTACTTTTGGTATAGTTAGGAATAAAGTTGTAAGTTATTCTTCGTGACGTTTTTGCCCTATAATTCTAAAAGAATTGAGCTTGGATCAAGATTATGTTCAATGTTAGTACATTGTATTTTCTTGTTGATGCTGTTTATAATAAAGTTTATGATAAACATTATCGTATTTTTTAAAGTTAATTTGGTAAATTTTTTCTTTAACGAAATTTAAAATTTCTGATAATACAGCTATTGAAACAATTGTTCAATGCTCCCTCCCCATTGTTACAGGAGGGCTGAAGGCTGTTATGTATACCGACACGTTTCAGGCCATAGTTCTCACTCTCGGGGCCCTCCTTCTGTTCGGAATAGGTAAGACTCCTGATGACGATTACATTTCAGATGGTAACTGGCATAAGTAAACATAAGTATAAATATACTTTCACACATGACTCAAGTACATCGCTAATGCATTAATATCCATATTTGGTACTTTTTATCTAGTATATTTATGTACACGTGAGTATGAATAACATTACCTACTAAACAATATACATTGCTTCTTTTCTCGCAGCTTTCAGTCGCGTTGGAAGTTTGGAGAACCTGGAGCTTTTGTACATGAATGCCACTGCTGCTATTCAGATACCCAACAGTACCTGTGGATTACCAAAAAGAGACGCATTCCATGTATTCCTGGACCCTGTGCATGGAGAACAACCATGGCCGGGTCTGCTAGTCTGTTCTTCGCTGGGATGTGTTGCCTACTGGTGCTGTGACCAGGTAAAATAATTATTTAGTTAATATGAATAAAAGGTTCGATCTGGTATAGCAATCTGGCGATTTAAACATTTCAAAATATGTTTCGGACATAGAAATATAGGAGTTAATGTCAGGTAATAACTATAAGAAAAAGAAATTGACTAATCAATTGTTTTAATTAGAATGCAATCTAGGAATGTTTAATGTTTATTAACGTTGAGTTTGGTATAATGCGGATATTAAACAACTGAAACGTAAATGAAGTTATGGACCCGTAAGTATAGACATATGACAGGACGATTATGACACATTTAAGCAAAGAAGCTGTGGTTCTGAACCTCTTTTTGCCATTGCTGACAAACTTAATGAAGCCTGACTTAGATACGTTGACACTAGTAACAATGGACGAGACGAGACCTTGACACGATTTTCTTAAACAGTTATCCTTAGTTTTATACTGCACTACTCATTTTATGTTATATTGTATCATTTTATTTAAATTCGCTTGATGTCAATTTCTTGAAACGGAAATTACATGATCAGATGATATAACACCCCATGACATGTACAGCGCTTTCCCTATGATGGAATGTTGGACAGGTGTTGATATAAACATTCATAACCAACCACCGTATTTATAAATTTGATCACATTCCTGTTTCTCTTTAGTTAAAAGAGAACGTCAAAGTCGGGGACCATTTACAATTGTGTATCATAGACAACAAGACTGGGTATGGGATGGTGTATGTTGTATATAATGATGTGGCACGCTGGGGATAGTGGGGAGGATATAATATATAATTATGTGGCACGCTGGGGATGGGAGGGAGGATATCATATATAATGACGTGGCACGCTGGGGATGGGAGGGAAGGTATTATATATAATGATATGGCACGCTGGGGATGGGAGGGAGGTTGGATGTTGTACATAATGACGCGACACACTGGGGACGGGAGGTAGATATTGTACATAATGATGCGACACACTTGGGACGGGAGGTAGATATTGTACATAATGATGCAGCACACTTGGGAAAGGGAGGGTGGATATTGTATTGTCTTTTTTCTTTTTAGGTTATAGTACAAAGATCTCTAGCGGCTAAGAGCCTATCCCACGCAAAAGGTGGTTCGGTTATGGCTGCCGGCCTGAAAATGCTGCCACTTTTCCTGATGATATTGCCGGGAATGATTAGTCGAGTCTTGTTTCCTGGTGAATGACCATTGTTTGCACGCACGTTACACGGAGTAACATTTTATAATGTATCACATAGCTGCGGATACTGTTATTGTTTCTTGATGTTGTCGTCTCATCATTCTTTGTAGTGTAAAGTTGATAAATATAAATTTGTTTCAAACAAATGTTATCGTCAAGACTTTGATTTCATTTATTATATAATCATTTCTCTGCTGTACTTTTTATGTTCTGCAGTATTTATCGACATTCTCAAATATATAACTTGTCTGGAGATTTAACAAGGAACACTGTCTCAAACGTATGTTAAATCGTTAATATTCCGAGCTGTTATTGTTTCTTCAAAAATGAATTAGCGACGTCCCGTGGTGTATTATACAGGCTTTTGTTAAAGTGATATTTTGGTTAGTATTTACATTTCAGGAACCAGGTTAATGCTGACCGGTAGCTGCAAAGTTTTAGCTGAATTTCCTAGCAACCCTCTGAAAGGTTTAAGTAATGCAGGGTTTAATATTGTCTTTTTAGATGAGGTAGCTTGTGTGGACCCTGACGAGTGTATGCGGATATGTGATAATAGCGTGGGATGCTCAAACATCGCCTACCCTAAACTTGTACTGGAATTGCTTCCAAACGGTTAGTGGAGTACACCCAACAAAGCGCTGAATCGCTTCTGTCGATGAAACTCTAGTAATAATAATACCATTGCAGTATCTTGCTTTACCTCGCCCTTGTCTGCGACTAAGCATTTGTATTTCAGTTTTTTAGTCGCGAAAAGACTCTTTCTACCCTTTGTTGGAGAGAGAGAGGGGGGGGGATCTCAACCCGAGGGTTAAGATTATTAAGTAGGCAAACACGACGATCATGCTTTATGATTGATATACCCTATCTCACCAACAAGGGAGTGTTTTAAACATATTCTGCTATGCATTGTTGGCATTGTTGATGTGACGACATGTTTATCAACGGTTTCAAACCTAGGATTAGACAAAGAAAACTCGCACCACTGAAAGTGTAGATATACCTTTCCAGGAAAAAAGAAACGATTCTATATCTAGCCCAGTAAAGAAAACTCGCACGCGTCTTTTTTCTGGATCTTTTACTTGTAATATCAAGGTCGCATGAATGTACCTCCGCTGTAATTGACTCAAACCTCTGCATTGTTCATTATCACTATGCATCGACAATGCTCGTCTTCCTATCGCGTAGTGATATGCATTCATGAATGAATATTATCGTGTCGCACTCTTGGTTGCAATGTCATGCATTTAAAATTATTTTTAATGCCAATCTTTTTTCAGAGATCTCACTGCCACGAACGATTAAGTTGTGTATCTGGCAAATTAAACATAAATATTTGAAGTAATGAAAGTTTTTTGTTCGTTTTGTTGTTGTGAATTCGGACAGGTGGAAACAATATGCTGATCCATGGTGTTATTTTGTTAGGCAGACTAACTGAATATTTTCATTTCTTGTGTCGTTAAAATTTGAACTGGAACATAACGAGTCTTCGTGGTAAATGAGATAAGAAACTGTAAATATAAGGATTAACTTTCTGTTTGATTTAAATTGTCGGATGATAACCACAATTACTCCCGATATATTGAATAATAAAATGAAATTAACCCCAGCGAAAATGCAGTTATCCGCCGATGAACTAAACAAAGTAGAAAGACTGTTAATACTGAAAAAAATTGTGTAAGAGATGTGATATATTCTATAGTATCCCTGTAAAAGTCACAATCTTGTTATAGAAGAGCTTGGACACAGACGGTAGAGCATTGTTACAAAACACGGTTAATAACCTTTTTAATGAAGAGAAACAATTAGAAATAAAAATATTAGAGTTTACCAGAAAATGAAACCATGGGTATGTGTTTTTTAACTACAGGTCTTAGAGGTTTTATGATGGCCGTGGTCCTCTCCGCTATCATGAGTTCTCTGACGTCCATTTTCAACAGCTCCAGCACTTTGTTTACCATGGACCTGTGGCGTCGATTTAGACCGCGGTCCACACAAAGAGAACTACTCATCGTCGGCAGGTAAAGAGCATTGGAATAAACAATGTTACTTATATTGTGTATGTTACTTTGCTTCTTTCTGATTATTTCGTAGTAGACACTTCGAATGATTTAGGAAACATGTATCAATCAGAAATTATGTTTTATATATGGTGTCATTAATGTTACAAAAACCGGTAAAATTCGAAGGAAGACTAGTTATGGAGCGAAAGATGCCATACCTTCTTAATTTAGGTGAAAAACGTGTATGTAATCGTCTGATCCGACAGAAAGCCATCATGTTTGTAGAAACAAGCAGTGTTTTAAAAAGTATACGATAGACGTAAGCGACATCTGTGATAATGGTAAATCAATAGCAGACACGATGTTAATTGATTTATGCCAGTCAAAGAGGTTTCAGAGACTTCGTATTGTGTTTTTTGTGTTAGCCCAGTCCTTAATAATGTCTCTAACTGGTGTCTGTATAATAATTATGTGTTATTATGGAGAGGGCGTTCATAGGCTATTACTGTTACCCAATTTTTGCCATCAAGATCTATACAACAAAATATTCTGAAATGAAAATAAATCTACAAATCCTAGAAGGACAAAACATCATTATGATACTTTTTAATTTATCATTGAAAACTAGTGCGTTCACTCTTAGAGTTTGCAGGTGTCATACAATTGCTTCACCCTTCAGGGACTTTCCAGGAGCTACATGTTGAAACATAAAAGGCTTGTCTCGATCTAAATAATATATATACTTTACATATAATAATCTATATAAGATCTAGAAGGGAAAGCGAAGTGCACTAACCTCATAATTTGATCATTTAGTTTCTGATATTTATTGATTTGAACAAGCATCATGCAACTTAGGGTTAGTAGGCATTATTGCGTTGTATCCTAAGAGTAACGCGTCATCATTAATCCTGTCTACCTTTGAGGCAGAGGTGTATCAATTGTTTGTCTGCTTCGTATTTGACAGAGTCTTCATCCTCTTCATGTGTGTACTCAGCATCGTATGGCTGCCTCTTATCAAAAGCTCACAGGGAGGGCAACTCTTTGCCTACCTCAACATGGTCCTTGCCAGTCTCATGGCACCAGCAGGCCCGGCATTCTTGATGGCAATATTCTGGAAGGGGACGACTGAAATAGTAAGATTAAACGTGCTTAAGATAAGTTACATTCACTATGTCAAGAGTACGACTATCACTATCAAGGATGTACTCCTCTGATGTTTTTACCGGAAGTTAGACATAATTCAATATAAAATGAATTCGAACATAATATCTTGGACTTTTGTCGTTTTACATATTTTGTTAACTATGATTTTACTTATAAGTTGAAAGCAAGCAATTTATATGACGTTATAGCTCGTGGACTACATTATTTGATTGTGTAGTTGACGGCAGAATTCAGTTAAAAGCGTAAACAATTTCAACGTGTTCTGGTTGCTACAGTACTTCTCTTGAATAAAACACTGGAAGTCTTGGGTTGACTTCAACCAAAGTTTTCATAAATTATTACTATGAATCAAAGATTTCAAATTCGTGAATTCCAATTTGGCCACCACTTTCTCGGATTTTAAACACTCAAAAGCACGAAGAGTATCTATCAAAACTTTTTAAAAGTTTAATACTAGAAGATGGTCAAATGAAAGATTTATGTCATTTTGGAACATTTTTTGGTCGCTATGGAGTTTAAAGCTGGTAAAATCAAATGAAAACTTAACATTTTCACATGATTTTTTTCTCAATATCCATGTATCATACCCTTACCTTATAATGAAAGACGAAAATTTATTTAAAAAAAAAAAAACGTTGTCGCGGAAATAATAGAGAGTGTCTGTTATTCAGAAATAAAGAATTATATGTGGAATTGAATTATTATTCGTTATACATATTCTACATGGAAAAGTAGTGCACCAACATAATGATTTTTGACTTTAAATCTATTTTCTAAAATCAAACCTTTCAAAAAATCACAGTCAGAAAAAATTCAATACTGGATTTTTTTTGCTTCTCAGTGGAGTAAATTTTGAAGCAAATAAACGGCTAGTAAACGGCACTGTGTTGATACAATTTTAAGTATGTTTGAGGTATAAAGGTTAATGTGTTTACCTTTACTTCAGATGTGTCGATTCGATTGAAATAATGGAAATTAGAAAAGTTTTTCATACATTGAATCATTTGCTATTATGAAAATGAAGAATTTATAATTTATATAAAAAAAAAATTAAAATAAGAAAGCCGTCTGGAATTTAAACTCAGGTAGTATACACTAACAGTACAGTGATCACTACAAAGTAATACATATAGTACAGCTTTACAGGAAAACTTTAATTGTTTTATAATTATATGAAAATAATGTACACCGATATATGATTTTGTGGAATAGCATATCGTCTCACAGGACCATAATTTTTAGTCACAGCGTTGTCTGTTTACTCTTTAATATATATGTGTTTTTGCGGGATAGTTGTTTCTCGATAAAATACGGTTTTTGTACACGAAATTATCATCTTACATATCGATTGGACAATTTATGCAGTAATGATTTTGGATAGGTTTGCATGGTAACATGGATGACGTCATAACACCATTATTTCTATAGGGCGTTGTTGGTGGTTTGCTTCTCACTCACGTCTGTGGAATAGTTCGTCTGGTCCTGGAATTCACATACCCAGCGCCACCTTGTGGACAACCTGAGACACGACCAGCCATCCTCTACAACTTCCACTTCCTTTACTTCGGATTTTTCAATGTATTCCTGTCATTTTTGGCCATTGGTTTGATCAGCCTGATCACACGCCGCCGGACTGATGAGGAGGTCAGTTTTATTGATATCACACGCTATGGATTTTGTTCGGAGCATATTTCAATAGCGCAACTGCTGATTGTATAAAAAATAATATGCCTTTCTGTGTACATAGGAAATACTACTTAATGTATAAACCTATCTGAACGAATGCCTTTCTGATTCTTCGTTGGTATTCAATCCCTTATCATTAAATCATGCAGCTTGAACATGTGACTTGGTGGACAAGAGTGAGGGCCCCTGATACAATGCCGGGAGACAAAAATGAGGAGTACGGGGTCATTGACAGTGATGACATCAACCTTAAGCCAGTCAGTGACGTTGCAGTTATTGATAAAACAACTGGAAGAAAATACGTGTCAGGTATTCTCTACTTCTAATTTTCATATCAATCCACTGTAAAGCCACCTTAATGCATACACTACCTTCCATAATTCTCTAGGTAGTTTTATAAATTTCGAACTTCAGTAAAACTGATTTCAAAGTTGATAACCATATTGCTGATAATGTCTCGGGTCCAAATTTTCGCGCGATTTTCTTTTAAAGCGATCTTGTTATATTCCAACATGTCAAATTTTTGTGATCTGGAGTAAAAGGACATCTTATACATCTAATTATTTCAAGGTTTAATTTTGCACATCATTGCTATACGATACAGCCTTTTGATTGTCTACCAATAATGTTTATGGGTAAGTTGACAGATGGAAAACCTCAACTGAGGTATGGTTGCAATGTTGTTATACATACTATGTTTTTATAATATATATTCGTACTCGTGCAATTTCATGGCCTGAAAAATAAGCAAATAAGTCTCTCCCTTGACCACTCCTTTTACTTTTTATATCTATTTTTTTTCATTTTATACAACAGTGTTGTAAATGCAGTAAACCATTAACAGCTCTGAATTATTGAATATTTTATTTACTGGTTCATGATTGCATTTACAATAGACGATGAGACCTACCAGGATGAAGAGGAGTCAATAATTGGAGACCAGAGGACCTGTTTGGTCAAACTAACCTCATTTTTGTTTGGCGATCCCGAACAAGGAAGGGAGATAACTGTGATGTCGCTACGACAGAAGCAAATATTCATGACTGAGCGAAAAGAATACCAGTGGGTGTTGAATGCTTCAGCTGTTCTCATGATCGCGATCGTCATGTTTTTGTCAGGTTATTTTGCCTGATTTCTCTCACGTTTGTGCAAAATTAGTTATAACTTTGCTCATCATCGTAGTAGTATTTTATATGGAAACCTGTTGTCTGGCATGTCAGTATATATTTTTATATTACATTCTTCATATTGAAGAATTAATTGTGGAATCTTTACGTATGTTTGATCTGAAAAACGATTGTATGTTTTCGCTATATCATTTTTACAGAAAAGACGGCAGATTGTATCGTTTGTAGTACATTTTATACATACTGATAACTGATTTTTTTGTTCTTTTTGGGATTTTTGGATTTTTATTTCGGATTTGAATGTGAATAATATGTTTTACTCAGAATTTTACCGTCATCAGTTTTATTCAATCACTATACAGTGCATGCAGAGTGCTTTTTACCATCAAAGTGTCCGTGTATCTTTTGTGCAGTTCTCTTCATAAAGTAGAGTTAATTATAAACTATATATGCACGTGCTAGGTTTAGATATATTTTTGTATTGTCAAAGTGGTTGAAATTTAGAGTAACGCTCGTCAAATTCTATCCTAACATCGGTTTCTATCTATTTTTATCTTGGTATTGCCTGTTGTCTTGATTTGAATTTAACAGATTCTTACTGTCGTTTTCACTTTTATTATAATATCAAAAAAGAGATATATATTTGACGAAACAAATATCTCCTTATCATTGACAGATTATCCATGAAGAGTTGTGAATCTAATCCGTCAATGTATATTCTTGTAGAACGTTCTTCACATTGAAGATTAAACTTTTAGTTGTGTATGTTCATGTTGTTGTATTATTATTACGTTTCTGAATTCCGTCATTTTTCTGGGAAATGGTAATTAATAACTATAAAAGATAACGACACGAACTGAGAGTCGTTTTCTTCAGCAAATACACCCTTGGTATGTTACTTATCGAGTAGATATAATGATACGAACATATGAGATTTAGCACAAACGATACACACATATTTAATTCAGCACTAACGTGACTGGTAGAAAAAGGTCGTTTTTTTTATATTTGTAAAATACAATTGGACATATGTTTACCAGAATCTTACATTACTTTTGATTTCATGTTATTTACAAAACTTGTTTGGCTTGCAAAAATAAAAAAAGAAATCCTGCACTCGTTTTACAGATTTCATTTAAAATGAAAACATATGTTTCTACTGTGTTAAAGAACATACCGTTTATATGATATCCATGTTGTAATACATACCAGTGTCAATGACATCCGCGTTGTAAGTCATGTCAGTGTTTATAACTTCCGTGTTGATTGCTCATGATTTTTTTCATCGGTCGATGTTACCCAACAGGGAAAAACAATCATTATTCAAAATCTAAAGAAAACAAAAAGAGTGTAAACAGGAACCAGTAACACATTGACTTCCAGGTAAACATAGACAGTAGAACAGCCCATGGCAGGTTTCAGGGCGATATATCTCTACTTCACCAACAAACAGGCACACTGACTATTCGTAAAAAGTTTTATTAGCACAACCTGCTTCGTATACAACACTCAAAATAATCTTATATGAATATATAAACCAATCTGTTGTATTTCAATCCTGTAGTTTTATTAACACTAGTTTCGTTTATCACATCACGCATACACACGACTCTCTAGCAAGTTCTCGTTATCAACTCTGTCATCCACATCTGTGCATCACCCCTAAGTCTTGTCTCCATATCTTAATTCTTCAGTAGAACATTTGGTTTCATTCAGCCGGTATTTATCAATTTCTTAAGCAGATGTTTCAAAGTACTCTCGTGGTAAAATACAATTGTAACTTTAGTCACACAAACTCCTTATAAAGTAATGTTCTATACCTCCGACTAAACCAAAGCAGATTTTTTCATCGGAAAGTCAACAGTATTTAATATTCATTAAAGATATAAACGGATAACCTAGAAATGCTTTTATGATTTTCTTAGAAACATTTCATAGTGATTAATTTTCCAGTCTACTTGCTGAATTACCCGTAAAACCCGTGCGATCTACTTATTTCAATGAAAAACTGATAACTAACACAAATCGTATGATAAAGAGGGTTTGACTAGGAACTAGAGAAACTGGTAACACTGGAGTAGAAAACGTAACTCGCATTTAAGGAAAAACTTATAATCTTATTAGATAAACCTGTAGCGTTGACACTAAAGCAAAACGTAGTTTGTGGAGTATAAAACGGCATGGCTTGATACATGATAGACAACTTGAGGCGACACAATAAACTTGGCATTGCCATTAGTGCATTTAACTGCACCGACCACTCGGAACAAGATTTCATCGAAAATATCCAAGTAAAAAAAACATGGTTCCCATGGTAACGAGTGCTGACGCGGAAACCCATTTGGACCATTTGATATTTTCTGTGAGAAATGCCCGCTTCTGTTCAAACGTTATCTCCATGATATTGTGTTCTTTGTCCGAAGTCCCAAGAAGGCATGATAATAGGCGGTCTTGGCACATACTGGAAGTAGTTTCGTCATCCTGGTGGTTTTCTGAAAAAATGAAATCTCACCGATCAATAATGCATTTGTTAACAATATTCTGTGACATTTAAATGATATGTATCACATGATCGTATTTACAATGACACCAAGCGCTTTCAATTTTATTTATGCGTTAAATTTCCATGCCTCCATTAATTTGAACTTGTGCGTCCACGCAATAGCATTGGTCATATACCAAAGGTATCAACAGAGGATGGCAGCAGTCACAGGTTAGTGACACTGAAAATCCAGCTTGAACATGGTATCCTGACCCCAGACCAGGTCTTTTTATATATCAATATGCTTTCCAATTCATATTACAAATATCAATTAATAAAAACTTAATCTAATCTGGTTTTGGGACAAACCCGTGCCCATCCACACCTTATCGAATGCTAAAAATGACAAAAAGTGTTGAGTGCAGACATTAGAAATAAAATCAACTGAAAAATACCGACATGTTACAACATCTTCATAAGGAAAACTAAACCAAAAGATAAAATTACACGGAAGTGCAAGGGGAATAAGACCAAGAGCTCCCGAAGGATAAGCGTCTTCTGCTTCATCGATGACTCCTACATGTAAATCTTGAACTATCAAAGTAAGTAGATGATAGTGTGGCCCAGTGGTAACACAATTGCCTTTCACCTAAGCGTAAGAGGTTCGATTTCCAACACTGACGTGAAAAAGTATGGGGTCACCTTCCCGACCACGTGGATCTTTCCCGGTAACTCCGATTTCATTTCGCGATCAAACTCCTTGCGAATGTCCATCCAACAAGAGTAATTCATACAAGTTATAATTTTTTTTCGCAATTTTTGTTATATTTATATAAAGTAAGATATGTTATGTTCCAAAATGAGAAGCAAATTAGCGACAACGGATCACCAGGCATACTTAAAAGCAACTAATTCATAGGATGAAGCGAGAAAACCACATCCCAAATAATACAAAGTGTTCATTAAAGACGATAGTCTGGTTATAACGCTTTCTCAACATTTCTTCGCATAATTTGATTTAATTTTATAATGATAATTATTAAGTACGTGAATAACATAGCGAGCAATGAAACATCATGAAAATTTTTAACCAGTTTCAATGAAATGCACTTAATTATCCCCAACGACAGTTGACTGATACATGTACTGGATAATTTGATACAGATTTGTTAGATACATCTATTACATCGATATTGAAAATTATTTATTAGAAACACAAATATGTATTAGATGTTTACATTTGTTTGATTCAATTGCAGGTATATATGCTCGAACAAAGAATGCCGAAACATGAATATGAAACGTTTACGAAATTCTTGCTATTGTTTAAAATCCTCAAAGCGAATGTAAAATAAAACGAATCATAATAATTCAAACAAATACACACATCTTTTTCGATTATATTTACATATGATGTTTACAGATTTTCTTGCAGTTTTAATTGTTTACTCTATCACATGGACGTAACATTAAAGTGTATTAACTAGATACTTATAAAAGAATATCTTATGGAATATAATATAGACCGACTTTCTAGCAGTTCCACTCACTTACGGAGATCAACAGGCACCTTGCTTTGGTCTTCGTCAGGTTTATTCTCCTCGGGCCTGACTGACATCTCATGTTCTTCCATCTTTGAAGGTGGGAATTTCATCCTTGTCCAGTATGTAACATTCTCCAACTGCAACAAGAAGTTTCATTAATTCCATGCAGTATGAAATATTGAGTTTAAGAAAGTAAATCGCATGTTATAACGCGAAATATGGTAATTAATATACAACAATGAATTCTGCATCATACAGATGACTGTCCTTTGGTGTTGAGGACCTTACATAATGGCACTGAGATGAGAAGTTGGAAAATCAAATTTTGACACTTGACACTACGATCTGTATTCAGGTCAGACATCGTGTTTACTTGCATGCTAGGTTTCAATTCATTCGAACGATATATCGGTATGGTTCGATATATACACGAGTCCAATATGTTTGCTTATGAATTTTGTCAAACTGGGAGCAAGGGAATATAACTACATGGTTTATGACATTTATTTCGATCGTTTTCATAATGAAATCGGTCGCCTACAAAAATACAATATTTAGGCTGGCATCACTGACAAGTATATGTAATTGTAAATTTACATTGAAAGGTGTAATTGACTTGAGTGTCTTTAGTACAATATTTGATTCGAATATGCTCCTTTTTTCTGTACGAAATGACAAAAGCAATTTATGCAGACATCTAATTGGATTGAAGGGAAAAAACGAAGACAAGTACATATGAACTGAGGGAGTTTCGACAATATTTTTGAAGAAGTCCTGTCTTATCAGCCATCCAATGTATTTTTGTCTCTTCGAGCAGTAGTAATTTACCTGCTCCTCCGTCCTTGGCGTGGTGAGTAAGCTCAGAATGATGATGACAATACCACTGAACAATATGAGGATGGCACCAAAGTTCATGAAGTGTACTCTGTACAGAAAAGCGGGCCTTGTTTCGGGCATTCCACAGGGTGGGAAGGGGAACATAAACTCGAAAACTAGTCTCACAACACCCACTGCATGGGATATTAACAGCCCGTAAAATACGCCCTGCGAGGGAAAAAACATTTGAATAAACATTGTAGCTAAACGTAAGTAAAATAAAGGTGATTACTATATATCGAAAATTAATGTCGATAGCACATATCAATTAACTTGTATATAAAATGGATGTTAAAAGCGAAAGGTAGACACTAACGGAAGAAGCTCATCAAATATCACTTGTCTATCTTATTGTTACTTATTTCTGGGACAACTTCTACTCTGCAGATATGTTCAATGATGCAATATTCAAAGGGTTTCTGAGAAATCACTAGGTTCTTTCATATATGTGCCACGAAAAGCTATCAAAACAAACATTTATAAATAATCAATGATGTCAAAGTTCACTTGGGTTTACTGTGGTTTCCCTCACAGTACTTAAGACCCCTTTCTCGCTTCCATCCAAGCTGGTTGATATAAGTTTAAAGTCTGTTTCGCAATTTTGAAATAAAGTTTTTTATTCAGAAATCACTAAATCGCAGTAATGATATATTATATCAACATTATCGACCATACCACTGTTTCTCACATACATTTTCTGTCGTTCGCTTCCAGAAGACGGACAAGACAAATGCAGAGCTCATTGGCTCCATGAGACAGGAGTTCACCATGTTTACATAGTTGTACAACTTCCCTCCTTGCGAGCCCTTGATCAGCGGCAACCACAGTATACTCGCCACACACATAAACACCACGAATACCCTATAATAAAATACATCAAAATAGGTTTTCTTTTCATGGATATAAGTTTGAATTAAGGCTAGATTAAGATATTTAGCTTTGCGGAATATTTTGCCATATTCCATTAGCTATTTGCAAGCCAATGAGAATCGTTCCATGCCATGAATGCCTGAATTTTTCTCACAAATTCTGAATTATATGTAGCCAAATATCTTTATCTTTTGTAATCGAAGTTACAGTAATTTTTAATGTTAAGAAACGCCAGAGAAAACGGACATTTCAACAAAATCCTTATTCAAACTCAGATTTTCTGAAACTATGGATATCTACCATCAAAAGAAAGATTTACATTCAGACTCCTGAGAAACTAACATGAGAATAAGATCAGCTGTTCCGCAAAGGTGAGCGTCGTTTGATTCATTGACGACACCTAAATGCAAATAATGTCACGTTCTAAAAAGAGAACAAGGTAAACAACACAAGATCCAACAGGTATACTAACGAGCATCAAACAAGACCAATTTCAAACCGAACAAGGAATTTTCCACGATAATACTCCCTATAACAAATTATAATTCTTAACATGAAGGTATAAAATTTGGTAAATTATAAAAAGGTTCCTACTTACCTGCCAACTATAAGTAGTTCTCTTTGATTGGCTAGAGGTCTTAACTGCATCCACAAATCTAGAGTAAATACTGTACTGGAACTATTGAATATAGACGTGAGAGAACTCATAATGGCAGACATTATCACCGCCATCAGGAATCCCTTCATACCTATTAATGTATTATATCAACAAATGTCAGTAGGGAGATAAACACCAAGGTGTTGTTAAAACAAACCGTTGTTGTGTATCGAACATAATCACAGATTGAAGGGCATCAAAGAAAAATCACTATGCTTAAACATTGATTTTTAAGTATTAAAATGTATTTCGTGTTATCAGTTACCTTTTTCATTAAATATCATATCATTTTCGAAGGAGTTGAAATAAAGCATTTGCTGCAGACCTCTTCAACGTTATTGTGCAATTTGCATGACTTTAACTATTTGAGAAAATTGCAAGTACTGGTTTATTAGCTGAGGTCAGCGTCATACACATCAAATCCTGCGTTTTAACACAAAATACAAAAAAAATTGAGTAGATATGTGAAGATACTTTACCTGTAGGGAGTAACTCTAACACTAGTTTAGGGTAAGCAATATTAGTACATCCGGTTGGGTTGTCACATATTCTCATACACTCATCAGGATCAACACATACCACATCATCTAGAATTTTAAAAATATAGATTAGGTACCATAACGTTTTATAAAGATTGACGAAAATATGGATTTCTTAAAGTTAGGAAATACGAAAAGCTTACTTATTAATTAATTTGAATAATAAACTGAATAATATGAAGATCAGTAGAGATGTTTATCAGGAAGACTAAACAAGGTTTTATAAGAGGTGAGTAAGTCTAGATAGCGATCACCTGTGAAGAGCACGCGACTGACGAGTCCAGGGACGATCATTACAAACATGGGTAAAATCTTAAGGACACTTGCTAAAACAGCTCCCGCCTTCGCCCCCTGAAGTGTGCTAGCTGCAAGGTACCTCTGCACTATAACCTACAGACGAGAAAACAGTTAGTGAACCTGCCAATCCGAACACATCCTCATCATTTTCAATGGCAAATTGTGAGCTTTATCCGTGGTTTAAACCATAAATTACAGGACAGTTAGAAGATTTTGTGAATTGAAAGTATCTTATCTGATTAATGAAATAAAAGGTTCTGATTTTCACACTCAGAGACCAATGACTACCAATTAAGTTGTTTAAATGAAAGCTCGTTTTGCATAAATGTACCTGATGCTAACCCTCTTCTGAAAGCTAGACTCTCACTAATCGATTAAACGTCATGTCAAAAAGTTTTGGAAACGATTTGATGTCGTTAGATTCAGTAGTATGACCTAAGTGTACCTGGTCTCCACACCAGTAGAAGAGACTACCCAATGTCGTCATAGCCAGAAGTCCAGTCCAAGGTATGTCTCCATTCACCGGATCATGGTACAAGGAGAATGCGTCTTCACTAGGCAAACCACATGATGTGTTGTTCTGGAGAACATTAGGAATAGCGGCCATGTACTGTACTTTCAGTTCAGTCCAACCACCAACCCTATTATAACCTGTAGTTAAACAAAAATCAGACGGACGAACGCCCCGACATCCGTCCGTGAGTACGGACGAATGCATACTAGGATAGATATCACTTATACGTCATCATTTGTCATAGATATCAAAGATTTTGGAAGTTATGATAACATCTTTTAGACAAATTGCTTTCCAAAGAATTACAGAGATTTACCTCTGAAGATTGAAGACGTTTTCTACTATGATAACTCTTAGTACTGTGTCAGTCCGAGATCCGAGTTTTGCGTTTGTAATAGGTTTTCACCACTTTGAGATTTATTTAGGAGATCAATTAACAGATGTGAATGTGTATCTTAAATATTTGTCATTTATACAACTACTGATTGCGTCATGATTATTTATTCAGAGATTTTATCGTAATTGAACTATTCACTAGATTTTTAATAGTGTTGGTGTGGACAAATCCAACTACTTAAACTTACCGTGAATTCAGTACTTACAAATTCCGGCCAGTATGAAGGAGCCGATCATCATTATAACAGTTTGAAGTGTGTCCGTGTACATGACCGCGGTTAGACCACCTAAAACAGGTTAAAGATCATGTCAATAGCAACTTGTAGTTGTTGCTAAGCTACGACAATCAAATAATATGAGTTAAGTATTACTGTGTTCCCTGTAAGCCACATGAAGATGTAACTACCTAAATCTATATACAACGTTGGATGTAATGTCTCATTGTTGCCATGACAACACTTATCCAAAAATGTTTCTATCTAGAATAATATAAAACGTTGGTTGTGATGTCTCCATTTTACCATGACAACACGTTCTAACGATTTACCTATCTAGAACTATATAAAGCGCCGTGATATCTTGTGTTTCCATGACAACATACCTGTCTAGAACTATATGAAACACTGGTATCTCGTGTTACCATGACTACATCGCCTGAAGATTTACCTACCTAGAACGATATAAAAGTTGTGATATATATTGTTATCATGACAACACATTCTCACTTGAATGTGTTGTTACCTAGAACAATATATAACGTTCGAATATCTCCTGTTACCATGACAACATTTTCTCACAATTTACCTTTCTAGAACTATATAGAAAGCTGTGATATCTATTGTTACCATGACAACACGTTCTCACCTGAATATGTCCTTACCTAAAACTGTATAAATCGCTGTGATTATCAACAACACGGTGACAGACAAGTACATATCCCATCCTGTCGCTAGTTGAATAAACAACGACCCAGCAAACATGTTTCCCTGCCACATATATCAAAGTCACTTTTTGTTAAATTCGGATCGTGAGTTTAACAGTTAATATAATTAAATAAATTGATGAGATAAAATGAATTTAGATAAAATTAATTTTACCAAATTAAAGAGGTAGAAACAGTATTGAAACGAAAAAACACACCATAAAAAAAATCAGGGCATGCAAAGTAAAAAAATGTGTTAAAGTTATGTAATACTACACAGTGCTGTGGTTAAAATACAGAGGGCTTGGTTACACTTAAATTACAATATAAAAACGGTGTTCAAACATACAGCGAGTTTGAGAACAATGGCGAAGATAAGCGTCATGGTCACAAAGTAGTTTCGGATTCTTTTGCTTCCAAATCTCTTTTCGATGTATTCTGGGATAGTATAAACCTGTAAAACAAACATTGATCAAAACTCAACAGTAAAGTTCACAGTCATACAATCCCGACAGGGAAGTCATAGTATATATTTATATATTATTGGGTATACTTTTAACAAGACAGAGCTGTATCATATTACGTCATGATCACACCTCCATTGCTGCCAAGACCAACCATTATCTTTATGATATAAACAACATAATATCATACTTCGTTATTTAGATTTTATTTATTTGACCTGGATTTAAAAAACCGTGAGATGATTTTCTGTCACATATATTTTTGCTGTATTCGGCAGTGACGGAAAACATCAGTATTTTAGCACGTACGGTAATTCGACAGAAGTTTTTTTTTCTGAATTTACTTTAAAATTATTATGTTTAATAATATAAATGACTGTTGAAATAAGTGATATTATATTTTGTAATGAATAAGTTTATTTACGAAAATTCATAAAATCGTTGTCCTATCCGTTGAAGATTGGAACTACATTTCTACGCGGAGCAGTTATTTTAGCGTACGTCATCTCTGACCTCTGACCTAAGCGAGCTATTGATTTATATTTCTTCACTGTACCCGGACTAAAATACTTAGTTCGGAAGGTTCGCAGCACCACTGGAGGTGAGATTATACACAAACCGTGGTGAGATAACTTAACGCTATGTGATCATTTAAAGACATTAAAGTTTGCTGTGAACTTTATACCTATTCCAACAGCATAGAGCAATTAACATCTCTCTGATAGGACAACGTCTATTAAGACTGAGAACAAATGTTGGGATGTTGTGTCCTTATCGTATTTGATATTTACTTAGGTGTCCCGTAGCCTACGCGGAATTCAGTCGCCAAGTACATAATTTCCTCAGTCAGTCAAATGAGTATCGGACAAATTCATAAAAGGGATGGGTAAGATCCGAAGATTTTGAATTAATAAAAGTTCAATCGAAATATACTCACCCCTGCAGATATAAACACAGGCACAAAGCACCATCCACAGAGTATAAGGAGGTATATCGCCTGATAGAAAAAACAAGGAAACTAAATTTGGCCCAACCCAATAGATTTCTTCTCTTTTCAATGAACTGTATAAATGTTCAAGCATGCTAACGACCACATATTCCAAGAAATATAAATAGAGGTAATTCCAGATGTGAGTTGTGTATAAAGTATTCAAACATCGTTACATTTGATAGACAACTTACAAGCCACTCGAACAGTATCATCGCTATCCCTGTGGACGCTGCAGCGCCTACAAGTCCCATAAAGTGTTCACTTCCAATATTTGTGGCAAAAATTGATGCTCCTACCTAAAATAAAAGGAATGAAAAATTTCAGATTTTGTCAGTAGTAAGGTCTGACATGTCAACAGAATCATAACTGAAACTCGGGTTCAATCAAGCTATGACAAATTCTGAGCAAAAGAAAGATTTACACGGACAACAAGACCAGATGTTTCGGAAGGGAAGGTTTCTTCTTCTTCATCGACGACACCTGCCATGTAAATTTTGGTCAATCCAAGTAAGTAATGCCACGTTCCCAAATAAGAACGATGTTAACAACCACAAAACCACCAGGCACCCTAACGAGTATCAACTTCATATCAGGTTTTCAATAAATAAAGAATGAAATATATTGATTTTAAGGCGATTGAAAAACAAACACACATTAAAAGAAAAGTGTTTTTTAATATGAGTTTAGAAATGGATACCGAAAATTAACAATATTCGATCTTGAAAGCTTGAAAAGTACGAAAATCATTTTTGCACGAGAAAGAGTGTTGATCCAGAGAATGATGAGAAAATATCAAAATGTTGACACTCTATTGTTTTCAGCCCTAGAATTTAAAACAAATATGTCATGAAATCAGGATAGATTGACAAGTATTCTGTTACTGGGGTCGACAAAAGCAACAGAGAACTTGGGGAGAACATCAACAGTTTCGTCCGTAATTGCTTTCATAGAGTTCAAGCAATTGCTGATGGTGATTAAATTATTGACAAAAAATAAGGCAAGGACGACACATTATGATATGTAACAAAACTTACCACGAACCATTTCATCGAACGTCCCGCTAGAAAATAACTCTGAACATTTCCACGGTTAGGTCTCTTCATTGTCTAAACACAAGTGAGTATCGTATTAATAGTTGATGAGAAATGAAATCAAATCTGGATATTTTGTAAACCCGTCAGATAATTGGTTCTTTAAGTGACGAGGTCGTGATAAAATTTAATGGAAATGTGAAATATTCTTCCTTCTGTTCAACAGACAAAATATAATCAATTGTCTTTAAATGAACTCTTCAAAAAATTACATCTACATATGCATACATTGTTTATGTCAAAATTTATACAGATTTAGATATACAGTACAGTGTATATGTCATAATTAAGTAAGATTTGGATATACAGAAGAGTGTATATGTCGTTATTGAGCAAGATTTAAATATACAGTACATTGTATATGTCATAATTCAGTAATATATACAAATACAGTACATTGTATATGTCATATTAAGTACTCTCTCTGTTATGATCACAGCGGATGCCTAGGATGTATTGCGCAATTCTTGGAATGTTTGAAATGCTGACGCTTTGTAATTGTGACAAGGTAGAACTACAGAAAGCAACACGATCCTATTGTGTGTGGCTACATCTTTATCATATTCGAATTGCACACTTACCCATAACCCCAGAGCCAAAACTACAGCAAAGTACAGGAAGAGGACCAATATATCGGCCCAGTGATCCAGTCTGCTCTCCATTGTGGTAAATATGTCAGGATGTCTGGAATGATTCACATTTAGCATCACGCATCACAAACCAATAGAGTAATTGTTATCTTTATATCTTACATAACTGGTACAAGTTGGTGCTGTGTAATTTTTTTTATTTCGTCTCTAGGAAGGCTCCTACGGATGCTTTGCTTGTGAAGGAGGAAATTCTTTAAGACAAGACAAGACAAGATTGTTGTAAGTTTTGACGTGAATATGCTCGAACGGTAAACTAAGTCACTAACAAAAAAAATGAAGTTAACTTCTTGGAAGCTGCTGGGGATAGACTCTCTGAGAGTTTTCTAAATATACTTAATGATGCTAAATCTTGTCTGATTCTAAACTCGCAGGTCAGAGGTTGTCTTCTATGCTCTGCTGACATGATTGCTGGCATTTACATTCCAAGATAGTAGGATTTGTTCAAGTCGATTGGAAGAATCTAGTATCTAGGGATGCTTTCTTAAGGCAATACTGAATCAACAAGGCATTTTTTCTAGTGCCATGGATTTCATCTTGACCAAGAGAAATGTTATTTAACTAAATTATTAATCTATTAATCTCTTGGTCACAGGGGAAATGCTACATGTGATTTGTATATAGATGACTGGAATCGTCAAATCTTCGAAAGACGAACACAACCATTCCATGTGTTCGTCGTATGTCGAATACAGTAATAAATATAGGATATTCGCACGAGTAAAAGATACCAAAAATATTAGCCACACGAGTGAAATATATTTGTTATTACTGAAGACACTATTAGATATTCTGTTTATTTCCTTTTCATCGCAAAAATAAACCAAAACAATGGCAAACTTACGATAACTATAAAATGGGTAAGTTGACCATGCTTTTTCCAGACACTACTCACTCATTATACAACGAATAGTCCATTTTATGAAAAATCAGTAAATATATACAGACTCATAAATAAATCATAATGAATGTTTATTTGTTTTTGGACATGGATTTTGTAATTTATTGATGTCACTTATCCACAATAAAATGGTTTAAACGTTAACTGAAAAAATAAATGAAAGTTTGTGAGCAAACATGTTTTTGCCAAACTTGCAGAGGACTTTTATTTTCTTTAGAAGCTACAGCCATCACGCTTTCTAAGTAGTTTTGTTTACATGTTGAATGACGTCACATTTAATCTGGTAAGCTCCGCCCTTTCCTTTGTAAGGTAAGCGAGACATCCGGGTCATATGTGAGAGATCAAATGTCATTGGTCAATAGAATCTAGGCTAGCCCCTGTTCAGCATCATTGAACCCCATATCACACTTATTTCTCTGCACGTGCGGCCAATTTAAACATATTTTATTGCATAAATTGTATATACAAATGGATTGGGCACAAGTTTACAAACTTATATAAAGCCCGTTCCAAGATAAATAACAGACACATATAAATGCAAAAGATGACCTATTCGAAATTTACAAGATACAATTATATATACAGAGAGAGAGAGAGAGAGAGAGAGAGAGAGAGAGAGAGAGAGAGGGGGGGAGAAACAGAGGAAACAGAGAGAGAGAGAAAGAGAGAGAGAGAGAGAGAGTACATCTACAAATGTAGTGAAAAAGGAACAATAGCGATATGGTCTAACCCAACCCAGGTGACAATCACATTCTTTATACTATTCCACTCTTCCTAGCGTTCAACTTGTCAATGTCTATCAAAAACCGTGCCACCGATGTCCTTCTCCTTGGTCCATGCTGATCCTTCTGGAAATAACATATCTCAACCGATTGTCACCCGAGTTGGGAAGGAACGATTATAATTTACTATAGAGTATAATTTAAAACCGGTTTGTATTTATAATAAATCTTTGGGTGGATTGGCATATAGTTTCGTTTTCCTGGTTAGTCAGCTCGGAGTTTCCAAATAATAGAAGGTGGAGGTCTAGTGGAATGAAATCATTAAGCTCACGATAAAGTTGTAGGCGTTGGTAGGCATAATTATTACATACAAAAAAGAAGTGATGAGCATCTTCGATATAGTGTCCACATTGACAGTGTTTATAATTAATTAAGTTAGCATGAAACAAGTCATTATTTAAAGTACTGGATCTGTTACGTAATCTGGCATGCAGGATGTTAGTTTTTCTATCACCAATAAGAAAATAGGGCGGAATTCGAATGTCTGTGTTTTTACGGAGAGAGTGTTTAAAGACCGAATATGTTTCACTTTGTCGGATATCGTGGTCTAACTGATTCCAAAGATGAATAGTAGAGGGAAAGAAAGAAGATTTTGTGAGTTGTAGACGGTAGTTTGGTATGGAGTAATTATTGGCATTTCGAAGGTTATAGGGTGAATTTTCTGAGACTAAGGGGGGAAGAAGAGTGGATAAATAATCAGGTGTTAAGTTATTTTTGATTTTATAAAAAAGCTGCAATTTCCTTCTAGAGCGTCTAAAGCAAAGTGGTTCTAACCCACATTCAGAATATAAGGAATCTCTGCTCGTATAAGATGGTAACCCCGTAATCACACGAGCAGCCTCTAATTGAAGTTTTTCTAATTTGTCTGCGTCACCGAGAGTACATCCATCCCATACCTCACAGCAATATTCTAATAGTGGAATAATATAAGAATTATATATTCTATACAATGTTTGTCTACCTAGAATAAATTTAAGTTTTCGCAAGATACTAATCTGCTTAGATACTTTTTTACAAATGTCCTCAATATGACTTGTCCATTTACAATTCTGGTCAAATGTTACCCCCAAATGCTTATGATTATCTACAAAATTCACACTAACATTATCAAATTTTATATCTATCGCGTAGTCTAATTCGGAATTATGGATAAGTAATGCTTCTGTTTTAGTTGGATTAAACTTTACTAGCCACTTTCTCGCCCAATTTTGAATTTGTTCTAAATCATCATTTATTACAGTTTCAACGTTGTAAGGGGATGGGTTCGAGTATAATAAAGAAGTGTCATCGGCAAATAATTTTGAGAAACTCTGAAGATTATCGGTTAAATCATTAATATATAAAATAAATAATAGGGGACCAAGTACTGAGCCTTGTGGAACACCCGCATTAGAAGATTTAATAGAGGATTTAGAGTTACCCACGCAAACTTGCTGTTTTCTTTCACTTATATAATTAACAAGCCAATTTAAAAGTTTACCCCGAATACCATAATTTGCTAGTTTCACTTCCAGACCCCTGTGCCACACACGATCAAACGCTTTCGATATATCGCAAAAAACTAAACATGTAGGTTGCATTTTTTCTAGATTTTCGCATAAAGTATGATAAATTTCGATAAGTTGATGTACTGTCGAGTGACCAGGTTGAAAACCAGATTGGAACTTGTATATCAGTGAATTTTCTAGTAAATAGTTATTAAGGTATTTTACAACTAATCTTTCAAAAACTTTACCAACAGTGCTTAATAATGAAATTGGCCTGTAATTAGCAAAATTGTGTTTGTCCCCTTTTTTGAATAATGGTATCACTAATGCATGTTTCCACATTTTAGGAAAAACCCCAGTTTCCAGAGAGGATCTAAAGATGAGAGATAGTGGGAAAGCTACTGATACTGCTGTATTTTTTAACATATTATGACTGATTGTGTCTATACCAACAGCTTTATTCACATTTAAAGATTTAAGTATGTCAATTACGTCCCTCAATTCAAAATGTATATCTGATATTGTCGAGTCTGTCCGTAATTCTACCGTCGGAGATTCTATATTAATGTCGTCTATAGTAGAAATGGAAACAAAGTAATCATTTAAAATATTAGCTTTGCCATCATCGGTCATTTCAATGTTGCCATGAGTATTTCTAATAGGGGGTATAATGTTTGATTCGTCTGAAGATTTAACTAATTTACGTACAATTTTCCAAAAAATTCTAGGATTTGAATTCGAGTATCGATCTAAAATTCCATTTATATCAGCATAAAAAAATTCTTTTGTTCGTTTCTTCAAGTTATTCACATGATTACGTTGTTTCCGAAAGTTAGATAAGTTGTTGTTGGAGCGGTTTGATTTATACAATTTCAACAGTCTATTCCTTTTCCAAATTTCACGTCTTAAATTTGAGTCAAACCAGGGTTTGTCATTAGGTCTAACGGTCACCGTCCGAGTCGGTATACATTCCCTAGCTATGTCTAGGTATCGCGTTGTAAAAATTTCACACATATCGTCAGGAGAGTTAGCAGTCGCAAATAAGTCTACCCAGTCCGTATCGTTTAATTTATTATTAAATAAGTTATAATTTGCGTCATTGTAGCATCTTATAGTTCTTTCATAAGTCTTCCTAATACTAGTCCTAACTGTCAATTCAACCGTTGTCGCGCTATGGTCAGAGATGTCACTGTCTATATCTATTACGTCGGTGTAGCTAAAACTGCACGTGTCAGACAGAATAATCGGGTCAAGTAAGGTCGAGCTTGTACGTCCTACACGTGTCGGTCTTTGAACGATATTCGATAGATTAAAGGAGTCAAGGATATCAACAAATACATGATTATTATTAATAGTTAAGAGGTCAACGTTGATATCACCAACGATTACTACGTGTGAAGTTTCATTAAAAGCCGTTTCAATTGAGTGTCGGAAGTAATACCAGAAGGAACGATCACAATTAGGAGGTCTATACACAGTACAAAGAAGATATTTTTGCTCTGAAAACTGGAGTTCTGTCCAAATAATTTCACCCACCCGGAATTCCAAATCAGCTCTGTGACGGGTGCACAAGAGCCTGGAAGCGTAAACAGCTATCCCCCCACCCGGAGACCCACGATCTTTACGGTATACATCATAATCACTAAGGAGTATATCAGCGTCTACGGTGGAGTTATCAAGGTGAGTCTCGGTGACACAGACAATATCATAATCTAATGCTATATTTTCTAGAAATGATAATTTGTTTTTCAGACTTCGAATATTTAGATGAAAGATAGAAATGTCGGTTTTCTCGATAGGGCCGGGGTTAGGATGGACATCGTTACATGACAGGATGAGAAGTTGTAAAATTAATAGAAAGCAAGAG